GAACTCCTGTATAGAAGAAGTATACCAAAATGTACAGAAATAAATGGTTCTCTGCAGAAGACACCCATTCTTCAGTTTAAATAGGAACCTTATGGGTGTACCAAAGAGATATTAAAGATAAGAAATGTTCTTCAAATGCACAAAATCAAGCTCACTTGCCTCAAACGCTCTCTTATTTCTCTTTCATTCCGTACAGCTCACATTAAAAGCCAATGGAGCAATATCCTGCACTCTATGTCTTCTCTTCCGCCTTCTAAATGCCTAGCTGAATTGAGCATCCTTCATTATGCTCGGCAAGGTCCACACTAACCCAAACCATCTCAAAATCTCCCACCATAATCAGGATTCATCTCACAATAGAAGGTGACCCACATCCTCTCAAATTCGTGCACGTGAAACACCAACTAACATAGGAGATCCTCCTCTTACTCAAATTTTTGGCAGTCAAAATCGCTCCTCTAGCCGCCAACCATACAGACCTCTGTAAGTGCCCTTGGGATCCATATTGATTAGTGTAGGAAGACAAATTTATAAGGTAAACAATTTTTATTACTGATGGAAAACCCTGTATACAAGCCGTATACAATCAAATTAAAGATTTTGAACAAAAAAATTGGTCTTGCAATCATACAAGACTCCAGAATTCTTGAGAAATCCTTGCGGGTCAATGGTGCACGGTTCAGAACTCGGCCAATAATGAGCCCACCCTTCTATACTACTCCACTTAAATACCAGACTTTTGTATGCAGAAGGGTTCGAACCTGTGACGTGCGCCTAACCCACACATGTACGTGCTATGCTCTTAAAACTGGACCAAAGCCCCCATAAGACTCCAGCATTCTTTCATTAACTAATCAAGTACCTGTAAGGTATGAGCACTGTATCACTCACATAGCTGTAGATAAGTTTCATAAAGAACTTTAGTCGTCACTCCAAGAGAGTAACTTTAACAAGCTTGTAGCATGACCAAAATATACCAACACAATGCTCTATCTAGGAAGTTAACATGATCGATCTATCAAATATTAAGAACAAGACTAACTAGATAAGCTTACACATTGGCTCAGAGATCAAAATATCAGCTTTCTCAGGTAATTCTACCTCTTCAACCTTTCTTTTGACTACCTAAACATCATGAATAGAAGACATACAAAAAAGAATAAGAAGACAACCAAGATACTATATGAATATGTAGAATAGCAATGGAAAAGACACCCAAATAAGGCAAAAGAACAATCAATCAATCAATCAACAACACCTCAATCGCATACTAGTTGGGGTCAGCTTAAACAAGTAAAAAGAACACTTACAGTAACTTTTTACTCAGTGATGGATTTCCAGCAATAAGTTTCCTGGCATATTCAGCCATTTCAGAGGCCTATATGACATAAACGTGCTTTGTACCGGCCTGAGAGGGTTTTTTGGTTTGAAAGATAGTTGGGAAAAGAAAAGATAAGTATATCAGCAGATGTTGATATCGTTCACCGAAAAGCACAAAATGCATTGCTACAAGTAGATCACCTGAGCTGCAAATAATGACAAAATGCAACTACCAGCACCAACATCAACCACAATGTGACCAAGAAAATCAGCACGGTTCTCAATTGCAGCACCTTAATAGGTTCCGGCAAGTTTTTTAAAGAACTCATATTATACACGCTAATGCCACATACTCGCTCTCTTCTTCTTCGTGCTCCAAATACTTCAGCTCTGAACCTATCCATTCTGCCATCCTATATATCTCCTCGGTCTGGGGGTGAGACTTGTCATCCGATGAAAATCCATGCAAATTTAAAGAACAATCAATACTACCTATTACATCTACCCAGCTGAATCCTATCTCTTTCCTCACTCCCTTGTCTCTCATTCCTTTTCTGATGTTTGCAACCTTTTCCCATTGCCCCTTCTCTGCAAACAAATTCGACATCAAGACATATGAACCTGACTGCTCTGGTTCTAATGCAATCAAAGTATTGGCTACTTTTGTTGCCATCTCCACATTTCCATAAATCCTACATGCACCAAGTAAGCTTTGCAACACAGACAATCCAGGTCCTCCTGGAATTTGAGCCAAAAATATTTCAGCCTCCTTTAACCTCCCCGCCCGACCAAACATATCCACCATACAAGAATAGTGCTCTGAAGATGGTTCAATGGAGTAATCTCTAACCATGGAATTGAAAATATCTACTCCCATATCAACCATCCCTTTTCGACCACATGCTGTTAGTATAGAAAGAAAAGTTATTGAGTCTGGACTCACGCCTTTGTTCTTCATCTCCTTAAACAAAGCCATTACCGATTCATAATCTCCATGCCTCGAATGAGCAGAAATAATAGCAGTCCACGAAACTTGGCTCCTGTCAGCTATCTCATAGAAAACTCCTCGAGATTCAGCGATACTCCCACGTTTAGCATACATGTCAAGAAGAGCACCTGAAACAATTGGATTCCTGTTGAAACCTCGCTTAATCAAACAAGCATGGCATCGCTGGCCATGCTTTAAAGAAATGCACTCAGATGAGGCGATTGCGCTCAAGACACTGCCAAACGTGTATTCATTAGGTGGCAACTCCATTGATGCTGACAAGAATGTTTGTAAAGCTTCCCGAGACATTCCATTTTGAGCATATGCAGAAATCAATGCGTTCCACGATATGAGATCTCTCTGGTCGAGCTCTTCAAAAACTTTAAACACGTCTTCCATTAATTCAAACTTAGCATACATGCTAATGAAGCTATTAGCAACATTTAGTTCGGAGAAGAAGTTCATTTTTAAACAAAATCCGTGAATCATTTGGCCCTCTGGTAACGAACTCTTGACAGTTATAGAATGAATTAATCCAACAAAAGTAACGTGATTAGGGTAAACCCCATCTCTCCGCATCCCATTAAAAACAGATACAGCACTTTCATCATTCATAGAAAGCATTGTCGTCCAAGACACTACGTTACGTTCGGTCATACTTTGGAAAACCTTATTTGCATCTTCGGTGACATCACACTTATAGTACAATGATATCAAAACATTACACACTGAAATGTGAGTACCATACGCCATCTTAATAACCAAACCATGTATCTGCTTCGCAAGATCCAAAGATCTTTCCTGTCCACAAGCAGATACAGCACTGGTGAACGACACATGATCAGGTTTCACTCCTGCCTTCATCATTTCCCTAAACCCCAAAGTGGCTTGGCACGAGTAACTCCCTTCCTGTGCATAGCCTGAGAGCAATGCGTTCCACGAAACCAAATCTTTATGCAACATTTCATAAAACACTCTTTCAGCTTCGGCCATATTACTACCCCACTTCGAATACATAGTCACAAGTGCATTCCCAACGAAAACGTCATTCTCCAATCCGAACTTCAAAACAGGAGAATGCAATTGGATACCAAAACGAAATTCCTCTTCGTTCGTGCAATGACTAAGAGCAGTAGTATAACTCACAGCATCAAACAGAAACCCAATGGAATGCATCCAAAGTGCAAAACTCAATGCCTCTTTACCATTTTCAAAACCCGAAAGCAGGGTATTATAAGAAACTCTATCAGGAAAATCAAGGGCATTAAACACACACAATGCCTTATTGAAATGCCCATTTTTACAGTACATGCTCATTAATGAATTTGGGACTGTTGTAAATGAAATGAACCCACTGGTAATGGCCAAGCTGTGGATTTGAGACCCAAGATTTACATTTTCACGACAACCCTTTAGAGCTAAGGCTATTGCAACTTCATCGATTTCTGAGATACCCATTTGGAGCTGATTCTTGAATAGCTTAAGAGCTTCAATTTTACAGTTTTGGTGTATCCAATTGAGCATGGATTGGTGAATGGAAACAAGAGCTGGTTTAAGACTTTTATCAAACACTTGGCGTGCATTGTGAAATGAACGGAGATTTTGTGCCAACCACTGCCGGTGTAAGGGGACTGTGTAGAGGGTTTTAGGAGGAATTAGACGGCGGGTAAACATGGGAAAGAAACAACCGTTAAAAGCCGTAATCCTGAAAACCCCTCCTAAAACCCTTGTGATGCTTATTGTTGTAGGAAAGCCATAGAGTTTTAATTGAGTTCCATCATAGTTAAAATTCTTCAATTATAGTCCTCCCATTCAATTTATGTGACTCTATATTTTTTTAGTCTATTTTAAAATAAAAATGACTCTTTTATAACTTTAAAAGTAAGTTAACCTTAAACTTCCCACGGGGGAAAGTTGAATGAAAATGGAAAACCCCGAACAACATAGAGATTTGAAAATGAGACCGTAAAAAAAAAAAAGGGTTACAAGTTTTTATAGCCACAAAAATTGGCACCATATATTTCAAAAATCTTATTTTCCTTCTTAAACTGAACACCAAATAAGATCACATAAAATAAATTAGAAGGATATATATANAGGTTGATTTTAGAGATTATAGAAATTGATAATTAACGGGCCAGACATCTTTGTTATAATCACATCAATTAATGCAGGTTCCTCTAGTTCGACTAGGAAATCCTTAGCTGATTAAGCCACGTTTTTTGAGACTGCAATCAAGTTGTAATTTGTAAACAAACTAGTTGGACATGCATGCCATGCAATAAATTAAAGGCGGATTCAAGATTTAAATTTAATGGATTCAATATATGAGTTTTTTAGCATTGAACCCATTATATTTTTAAAGTTATGGGTTCATAATTACTATTTATTGCAATATTAATAAATTTTTACACATAAATTATGCTCCTCATCAAAAGTACCGGATTTAGATAAACCCGGTACCATAAGACTAGATACGCCCCTACCATGAATGGGATTCAATTCGTTGGAAAGATATACTATGTAAATAACAACAACAACAATTCAGTGTAATCCCACAAGTGGGGTCTGGGAAGGGTAGTGAATACGCACACCTTATCCCTACCTCGAGGAGTAGAGAGGTTGTTTCCGAATACTATGTAAATAAGATAAAAATAATATTTTTTATACATGTATAAAATTTTGAATCTGATTTTCTAAACATAAGAGAAATATAGGTAGAAATCTCAAGTGTGGCCTTTTTGAATTTTTAGGCCATTATTTCTGGCACTGGTATTGTGTGCATTGCATGGAATGATTATATAATTAAAATTTGTCTAGTGAAATTACATTAGCACTAGTAACTAGTTCATGCACTACTGATACAACAATATGTTGATTCTTACGCTTACATTTTTACCCTAAATTTTGATGTTTGCATATAATATACAAGTGTTTGGAATGTAATGTTCACGTCGATGTTTCTGACACGCATGAGTAGTGGTGGCAAAATGGTTAAAAAAGAAAACAGTTATCCACTCATATTATCCATTAAAAAATGGGTCGAATAATGAACTATTTAAAAATGAATCAAATATGAATAAAGAACCATATTATCCACTTAAAAAATGGATAACCAAAGACAATTTAGGGTGAATTCTATAGGTCCAACAAACTAATTACTTTTATAGGCTTGAATTATGTATATTAGTATAAAAGAAATTTAACATGTATACACATCATAAGATCTTCTTGATCAATTCGTGTCGTTTCCGGCTAGCAGAGGTTGGAGTACACTAGTTGATTTATCCGAACCCCCTTCGTTGAAAATTACATTATTATATAAGGTTAACTTTTTTTCATGTATATATGTTGAATCCGGCCCCTTAATTTCTTCGCATAGTTACTTCTTTTATTTCTGAATCTTATTACTTGTTTACTTATTTTATGAAAACAAAGAACTAGAAACAACAGCTATACAGAAATGAATATTGATGTAAATGTGCCTTCAAACATGCAACAAAGTCGTTGTAGTATAGTGGTGAGTATTCCCGCCTGTCACCGGGTGACCCGGGTTCGATCCCCGGCAACGGCGTTTTGGTTTTACTTTTATGCTTATGCTTTTACCACCATCTGAATCATGGTTTAAAACTTCAGATTTATAAAGAGGGTGTGGTTGGTTGTTCAAGTTTCTCAACTTCACTAAAATAGAAATTGGCTGTCGTTATTTTTGGAGTAATCGTTCTCTTATACTCCAAAATCACGAACTAGCACTAGCACTAGCAGCAGCAAAGACTACAAGAAAAAACTAATTATAAAGGCAAAAAAGAAATAGAAACAACTCCAATCTTCACCGGTAATCTCACTCATTTCTCTATAAAATCAGTTGTGGTCTAGAGTTAGATCAGCATCTTCAATACTAGCTACTACCAACTTTGCCCCCGAGTTACTTGTTAAAAGATCACGCTATATGTCTTTACCCTCAAAATTGAATAACAATTAAATTCATAAGTGGTTTTAAGGATACATGAATTAATTTAACACAAAGCGATAAATTGAACTATAAGTAAAGCAAACAATAATAAAGTAAATTCAAATCATGCGATTTGAACAGTTATAACCTTGAGAAATAGACCTTACTCGAACTGAATACGATCCAAATAATGTCAAATACATAAGAACAGTAGCTTGCAGAAAGAAAATGATATTATAATGCTTTTAGGATGCGTGTTACCATGTGATTTACAAATAATCAGACCCTCTTTATATAGTTGGGGAGTCTTATTTTAGGTGCAACTCTATATAAAGTAAAACAATCTCATGATTTGCTAATTAAGCGGTTTCATTGATACGTGCCGAGATTTCCGCCGTGATGCGCAACCGATTACGGATATTTCGGCCTTCCGTTATTTTGGTTCGATGATGTTATCTCGAGCTAATTCGGAGTTGGAGTCAGTTCCGGGGTCACGGACTCGATAATATTTGAAGGCGCATGTTCTAACCTCGTACCTAGGTTCGACGGAATCCGGGGTTGATACTCAACCCATTATGTTTCACCCTCGGTCTGTCATGCAATAGGCGAGCTCGGTTTATACCGTATACAGATAGTCTTCTCGTTTTTCAGAGTGTAAACAACGAGAAACTATATGAGCCCCTGATCTTGATCTCAATACTTCGCTTCAAAAACGATAAAAATAGACCAAACGCCTCGTTAGTCACATCTTAATGACATTAAATGTTCTTCAGTCGCTAGTCGGCCGCTATAGACTTTGAACCGTCGTTTGCATACTATATATACTTCATCCTTCATTCATTCAAACTTTACGTTTAAACCTCTTCTACTTTTGTTCTTTAAAAAATCTTCGCATTCTCTAATACTTGTACCAGATTTCTTGAGGTTTTTGCTAGAATCTTCATTTGTCTTCATTCCAAAACATTAGCGTAACCTTTTAACTTCCTCTTCTTCATCTCTATTTAGAAAAAATGGCAAAAACTTCTAAGACAGTTTCACAAAAAGAAACTGCCTCTTCATCACGGCCGGCGGCAAGGAAACAACGGCGGAACCTCACCCTGAAGTGTTTGTTCCTAGTAGGTACTCGACTGGTGCTGACTTCAAGGTTGAAAATACTTCCTCGGTACCGGGTCGATGCGAGCCGGTCTCGAGATATATATGCTCGATCACCAACGGTCTCCTTCCCAAGGTCAAAGAAGATTGCAACTGGGTCGATAAACACGTGGTGGTGCCCACGCGTGAGGAAGTGATTACTACCCACGTGGAAGGTTTTTTAAGTGTTTACACTTATCCCTTCACGTTGGGCCCCTTGGACCCTGTCATCATCGCCTTCTGTAAGAGGTACGAAGTGACCCTTGGTCAAATCCATCCCTCTTTCTAGAGGATAGTAATTCTCCTCCGCTTCTTTGTAAACAAAATCGAGGGGTGTCCCTTCACCCTCGATCATCTCATGCGCCTGTACAGTCCCCGACTCTATCCAGGGGAATTAATAAAGCTTGCCCGCTGGGCCAGTAAGGCCCCATTCTCGAGTATAGACGAGGATCAAGACCGAGTCTGGTTGGGCCGATTTGTTCGGGTGAAGACCTCAGATTTAATCCCGGCCGAGGACATGCCATTTCTCGATAAATGGAACATGAAACGTAAGTATAACTTTGCCTTAAAGACTTCGTTTATTGTTTTTTCTTTTTCCTCCCTTCTTATCGACGTTTTGTGGTGAAGCTGTTGCTCAAATGCCGAATGCAGTTCCTCGACTCAAAAAGTGGGTCGAGGACCTCGTGTCACAGAAACCCTATTCCGAGCGCGCGTGGTGCGAACTATCGAAGGGCCGGTGAGAGGCCCGTTCCCATGGTAATTTTCCTTTTCCGATTTAATAATATTTGATTTTTTCCTCGTGCAGTTGAGTTCTTATTATTTCCGTTTTCTTTTGCAGGTCTTCCCAAGGATGTTTCTATGAGGCCTCCATCCGGTGACGAGGATGTGCCTCTCGAGTCCCCTGCTTCGAGGCAGGGTGATGAGAAGAAAAGGAAGAGGGCCCCGAGTTCTCCGAGCTCGGAAAAAAAAGAAAACAAAAAAGAAGTCTGGTGCGTAAAACTAAGGGTTGCACCAGTGCTCGGGTTCCCTCTTCGGACTCACTCCACCGGCTCAGGTATGAGTCAGAAGAAGAAGAAAAAGAAGAAAACTCTGAACTGGTGGCCCGTGTGCGATTAGGGCTTGAGGTACGAGGAGCCCCCGAACCGGTGAGAGCTGAAACTGAATTTCCTCGACTCAGGGAGGTCGATGAGGGAGTTTTAGCCGAAGCTTCTGACCCAGAACGAGGCGAGGCTGCTTTGCCTCGAGATAGGGAGGCCGATAACGAGATCATAGCCAGTTCTTCCCGAACAGTGAATAGTGTTCCGAAGGGTATACCCGGAGTGATAGACCTCTACGGTTCGCCATTATTTACTGAGTTTATGATCGCTAATGCTTAGGCGCTGAAAGAACGACCCAACGAAGAGCCAAAAGGGGCGGTAGACTCTTTTTAAAACTTCTTTGATGGTGTAGACTCTACCGCTACGGAGGACATCATCGGGTTGGGTGATATACCAATGCCGAAGAAGAGTCCATCATCGGGGACAAGTGGACCTGCCTCGAGCCTGAAACTAGTCAACCGATTCCCAGCCCCGAGTTTGAATCCTGACCGGAAGAGATCAATTGTTATGTCCATTCCGGAGGATGCCCGGGTTCTTTCTGCCCCTATGGGGGTGGCCAGTTACCTTCGATGCTTGTGACCGAAGAGGATCAAGCCAAGATAAATGAGGTGGAAGTGCCTTGTTTATTCAACGAAGCCCAACATGCATTAAATCGGGTAACCTCAGATACCTCCTAAAAACTTCTAGGGTGTACTTAGATTATTTTGTGAATGATCGTAACTCCTCCTT